TCCAAACACACACATGCCAGCCCTTTATTTGTTTTCTGTTTTGTTTTGCTCTTGTTACCTCTTTGGCAGAAGGAAAGCAGATGTCCACCATGCACAAACTCATGGAGAGAAGAGGTCAAAGGAAAAGGATCAGCATATGCATGCTTTGGGTTCCCTCTCTGCCTTACCAGAGCAGGCAGAGTGGACTTTTTTAGGGGAAGGTAGGCAGAGAAAACTGAAGCAATCTGCAAATGATTGCTCTTTTAAAAAAGAAGTATGTCCACTTTGCAAAGAGAGAGTAGAAGCAGGCATCACTTCACAGAGAAGGGGACACCACCCTGAGACCTGAGTGGGGGCTTTGGTGCACACACGTGGATGGGAGGACCTTCAGGCTCCGGAAATAAATATCCCCCAAGTCTGGGGATTTGAGAAAGTAAGGGGCACGAGCCAGGTAGAACCCAGGAGGACATTTAATGCAGTTGGAGGTGAGAGCCAGAGCAAGAAAGTCCTTGCAAGCCTTGCAAAAAGAAACTAAGACTATTTTTAACAGGTCTATGATTCCTCAGCTTAGGGCAAGAAACCCTGGGAAGCGATAGAACTAACGTCAGGACATGGGAGACTCCCAGGGGCCCTAGGGAGGCCTGCAGAATAATGTCACACACGCGCTCCCTGTGTTTCAGTTACCTGTAGATGCTTCTGTGATGAGCACCCTGCCAACTCAAGTCTTACTGAATATAAAAGAAAATGAAATGTTTTTAAATTCACAAGGCTTTTTTTATTAAGTGCTCTCTCAATTCATGTGAAATTATAATTGCATGTGGCTTTTTACATTTTAAAATATTTATTTACTCATACAGAACTGGGGTACAGGCCAGAGGCACAGGGGCAGTGAGAAGATTCAGCAGAGACAGAGTGGGGAGCAGAATAGGCAGACTGATGAACTACACTGCTGAGGGGGGCAGCAGGCATGTCAGGAGAGGTCTGCCGTGCCATGTGATCACCTCTGGGTCCGGGGATTGAACTCGCACTGAAGAGGCTGCAGCTAGCTTGTAACCCACTGTGCCACCAGGGAGGGCTGCTTTTTACATTTTTAACTTATTTTTTCACATGTGGCTTTCTATTATTACATGTGATGCTAAGAATAATAAAAGTGTAATTGCTATCGCGTGGCATCTGCAAAATTTGTTTATGAATTAATGCTACAGGCCATGGAGAGCTACCAAATACCTCTTAGAGTGAAATGACATGAAAAGCTTGGTTTGGAAAAAAATATCCTGCCAGCCACCACGCAGCAGGAGGCTGGAGAGGCCGAAGAGCTGGACTGGAGGGAGAGGCAAAGACGGTCAGAGGGAGGTGGGGTGCGTGGGGATTCGTGTCACGGTGGGGGTGAAGGGTGAAGGACAATAAAGGTGATGCCCAAATGATAGGAACAATTAGAGCTAACACCCATGGGAAAGAGAGTCTGGGCTGGTGACAGATTTCTGGTTAGGACAAGAGAAGGAACAAAGCTTTGTGGTTCATTCCGGGCATTTCCTAAAATGAAGACAGGATGAGTGTTGAGGAGTAATGAGTTGCAGATGAGTATCCAGCCAAAGACTAGTCTCCAAAAAGGTGCTTGCCCTAAGCCTGGGGCCCCGTGACTGTAAGTTTACAGGGCAAAGAGAACCTAAACCCACAGGTGGAATTAAGTTCATTAATCTCCCGGCTGTGAGGTGGGGGCACTCCAGGTGGGCCCTGTATCGTATCAAGGTGCTTAGTTGTGGAAGAGGAGGCAGAAGAGACAGTGTGAGGGGGAATCCTTGTGAGAAAGATTTGATGGCAGTTGCTGACTTAGAAGGTGGAGGAAGATCAGGCATCCAGGTGGGTGTGCTCTAGAACAGGAAGAGGCCAGAGGAAGGGCCGCCAGAGCCCTGTCGCTACATTGGCATTGGTCCAGTGAGACCCACTCCTGATTTCTCACCTTCAGAACTTAAGGTAAGAAACTTGTATCATTTGTGTGTGTGTGTGTGTGTGTGTGTGTGGAGAAGTGGGGTGGAGGCCTACAGGAGTGTGGGGTGGGGGTGAGATGATTCACCAGAAACAGAGTGGGGCACAGAACGGGCAGATTGACTGAAATACACTGCTGAGGGGAGCAGCAGATGAGAGGAGAGAGGTTTGCTTTGCCATGTGAGTTAATTCCCCTGGGGGTGGGTGGGTGTCAAATTCAGGCCTTTGAGGTGATAGAACTGAGACTTAACCCCTAGGCCACCAGCGAGGCCTGAAACTTGTGTCATATGAAGCCACTGAGTTCGTAGTAAACTAATGTGGTGAGTTAAATTTGAACGCACTGGTGGGACATCCAGGAGGTAAATGGTGGAAATTGGATTATTCTGTTCCCAGATGTGTCCTCTTTTTAGAGAAAAATGGCAGGTTCCTCTCCGCTTGCCTTTGCCTTCTGTGGCCTGTCCCCTGTTAAGACTTAGCCTGACTGTCAGCGCCGCACATCATATGGGATGACAGGCCCTATGGGACACTAGTTGGGTGACTCAAGCTGATAAACAATGACTATAAAACTAGCTTTGGACTCACAAGACCGAGTGTGAGTTACTCTGGCACGAGAACTTTGCACCCCTGCTTTGCTTCCTCACCCCGACTCCCCAACCACCTTTGTATACTGGGTGCAACCCTCCCATTTGTAGAAATAGCACATGAGGGTGCCAGTGGCTTGGGCCCCAATACGTCCACTGACTCAGCAGAAAAATTTATGGTCCAGAGACAAGTTGTGCAACTACTGGCTGGACCAATTTATATTACTTTGCTCTTTTCAAAGACAATGAAAAAATGTCACTTCTATTACCCACTTACAAGCATAAACCCCATAACATTTGGTAGGGACAATATGAAAGTCATCAGGGATGAATGTTAAATTGATCCATTGAGTGGCTGGCTGTGGAGGGAATTAACTAGCCTGTCCAGACCCCACAGAGTAGGCACTCACCAGGCACTTGGGGTGCACTGGTGCTGTGTATTCATTACCACCTCAGCCCCTTGGGGTAGCTGCTCCGCATATCCTCTTTATAGGTTCAAAACTTTAGTTAAGGAAAGTTAAGAAGTCAAGCTACTTCAGAAATGACCCCTGGTATGTGGCAGGGCTGGATGAAAGCCCAGACAGCCTGATGCCAGGGCTCAGCCCTCTTCTCCCAATTTTCCCATCTCTCCCTTCCCTCCCCTCCCTGACACATCCCCTGCCTGCCATCATCTCCTGATCCTCACAGCCCTGTAATTCTTCTATCCTGTCCACACTGGCCTTTAGGACATGCCAGACATTCCTCCACCTCAGGGCTTTTGTACCTGCTATTCCTTAAAGAAAATAAGAAGAAGAAGAAGAAAAAAGCCCACCTTTTCTCCCAGGTACTTCTTATTCCCATTCCTCTTCAGGTAAACATCTCTGAGGCTCTGAGATACACTCCCTGACCTCCTCTAAAGGGACTGGGTGCTGTGTCCCAGATATGGAAGGAAGGGTGGGAGTCAGGTGAGGAAAACTTCCAGCTCCTCCTAGGCTATGATTGTGCTGCCCCTTGAAGGCCAGGGCAGGCCAGGAAGCAAGCCCTGGCTACAGAGGAGCACTAGAGTCACCTGCTGTCTGCACGGTGTTCCAGTTCACTGTGACTGAATGTTCAGTGGACCTGGAAGTCAAAGCCTGGGCTCAGAGGCACTGTGGAGAACAAAATGGGCAGGCCTATCCTGTCCACTGGAGCCCCGTCTACCCCCTTGACACTGGAAGGTGGAGCAGATATGTTAACTGGCTCCTCAGAATGTTCCTGGTCTAGGGGGCGAGTTCCTGAGAGGCTCTAGGCTGAGGGCTGCGCCTGGCGGCCTAACACCAGCCAGGAGAACCCGAGGCATTCCCACACAGCACAAGGACCCCTCAGAGAGGGAACCTGAACCACGGTCACTGTCACACCAAAGTGACTCAGGCCACCCTTGATTTCTCACCCCTCCTCCCTTGGTGATGACAAACCTCAGAGTTTACCCTGCAAGCACATGTGGGTTCCTGTTCAGGACACCAAGAACCTGGTAACAAAGCCAGAGTGTTTTCACTTGCGGAGGTGACAGCTCAGATCTTGTCCCCTCCCTGCTTTCTCATGTACTAAATCCCCTCTGAACCTGGACTTACAGCTCCAAGCACAGTGCTTCCTCACCCAGGCCCAAGGCTGTCCACTGCTCACCACACAGCAGAGGGGAATGTCTCAGACGGTGACACCAGGATTCCCAAAGCCCTACACTGAATAAACATTTAATGTTTTGTGGGAACGCCACCCTGAAGTGCCCCTGGGGCCATGCCACTCTGACCCTTGCCCACCAGCCTGCTTTGCATTTTGGCTGAACTTTCACGTCCAGTGAGATTCTTCGATAGAAAAGGCAACACCATCTGTAGTCAGAATTTATTTCATTCCACTTCATGTATAGCACTTTCAAGGACAACATTCTGCTCAACACCATTTGCACCACAGGCTTCTCTCACAGCTCAGGAAGACTTTTGAGTTTTCATAGTCTACTTTTGCTGATTTTTCTGAATTGCTGGCTTCTCAATTTTGACAATGCCACTTCACCTAACTGCCTCAGTGGAGGCCTATTGTCACGGGAAAACACAATATACTCCAACACAGAAAAGCACAATTCAGGAAGGCACCAGACCACAGGTCTCTGGGGTCCTCTTTTGGTCTGGCTGATCCCTGGGTGGTTTCTCTTAAGTCTGTCAAGCCCAGAGAACAACATTCCCAAAGGTTCCATGACGAAATGAGATACTAAAATGGTGTTGGAGTATATTGTGTAAATGGTTGGTGTAGTATATTGTGTTTTCATGTGATGACAGGCTTCCACTGAGGCAGTTAGGTGAAGTGGCATTGTCGAAATTGAGAAGCCAGCAATTCAGAAAAATCAACAAAACTATGAAAGCTCAAAGAAAGGCTTCCCTAGCTAGGAGAGAGAGAAGGTGGGGGGGGGGGCGCGGGAGGGGGCGTAGAAACGTCTGTGTGAGACTGAGCTGTACGTTTAACAATGTTTGCCCTTGGATGTGAATCATCTTCATATTTAACCCAAGCACAAACTTAAAAAAGAAATGCACCTAAGTCTATCTTTTCACAGAAAAATTATAAAGTGGAGGGAAGTTGCAAGAAGTAACATTCACTGGTCTATAAAGTGGAACAACATGTTAAAAACTTGCATTTCATTGTCAGCCCTCTGGCTTTGGGATCTAATGGTCCGTGTGGCACCAGGCTGGGTCAGAAATAAGCCTCATGAGGAAAGTGCTCAGAAGCAGCCACACCAGCAGTCTCTGGGCCCTGCTTGGTGGGGCCCCTGAAGGGAGAAGGCTCTTGAGGCCCTGTGCCCAAGTTTCAAGTTCTGCCTTCACAGTAAATTTGCGTTGTACCCCATGACCTCTGCTGAAACAAAGATACCGTTGACCTACCAGTCAGATGACCCTTTTCTGGCCCTCTCCTCTGTACCCCATGGCAGGCAGAGTCCAGCCTGGGAAGCTACTTCTCGCAGAGGGGTGTCCTGGCATATGAGTTGAGAATGCCTTTCACCAGGTCTGTGGGGTGCATGTCCCCCAATGGAGGCATTTTATTCACTCGGGTTGTAACAGAACCCTTTAGGAAGTTGATATACATTTCCATGTATTGCAAAACAAACAGGAAACAGTTGCTGTATTTTTGTTTTTAAACCAAGAAATGAATTTTATTTACTAAGAAATAAAAGGAGCCCCTAACCTAAAGTATAAACTGGTCTTTTATTTCTATAGAAAAACACAAATTGGATTTTTTAAATATAAAAAAAGCCAACACAAGACCTACAAAAGATCAAACCCTTCTATTGGTTGGCTCAACAGAGAGTTCCCTCATTAATGACTGACCGGGTTTTGGTATACCTGCAAGCTCGTCATTGTGACTCAAGGCCTCAGGCCACCTTTTGGCCTCTTGATACATACCCATCACAGAACAAAGCTACTCTCCCAATATGGCATTTTTTTTTCCAGAAGACTAAGCCCTAAAAACTGTTATCTGTAGCACATGAATGTTTCACAAATAAGTGATTTCTGGACTGTTCCACAGTCAGGAAGCAGCTGATTGGGGAGCTGTGGTCCCGGCATACTCCCTACCCCTGGCTGGCCACAGTGGGCCCCCAGACCTCTTGGTCTCTGCAATCATTTCCCTAAAAGGCATCTGTGGATTGCACTGGTGAACAGGTTTTAAAAGACATTCATTTTAAAGTCAATTTTAAGAGATACTTGTGTTTTCTTTTAAGATGGTCTCCAAAATGTGTTATTGAAGATATACTTAAAACCATATCTCGGCTATAAGTAAAAAGATCTGTTCTAAAACATGGTGATGAAAAGAGGAAGCCAACTTTCCCTCACTGCTTTTGTGGCCATGTTTTTTCATGAACTCTTCAAAAGTCTGAGTCAGCAGCAAATGTAGGCATACACACATGGGCACACACATTTGTGGGTGTCAGAAAGGAAAGCACATTTGGGGTCCCACACACACACCTGCAGCCTTTTAAGAGGTTTTGCTGCCTCACAGATGAGCTGCTTTCAGCACAGAACGTTACAGGCAATTCTGGTAGGTGGGGCCCAGCGTGCCCACCTGCAGACCCGGGCAGTATGGGCAAGTGTGTGGACATCACATTCTGCGCTCAGCTGAAACTCTCCCTAAAGAAGAGAGAAAAGCTTTTGCCCAGCCCTTCCTTTATCCCGCGTGGCGTCTGGGCTATGTCAACATAACAGGTCTAAGGATGAAAGATCCCAACCAGCAAATTTTCCTTTTTAGGCTTCACGGTGCCATAGAGTTAGTGGGATGTCTTTGTCGGTTGTTTTAAAAATTTCATCAAAAAATTTCAGTGGGGCAAAACTGACTGGTCTGAGGTTTCATAGATGAGGTTTCTCCGTAAGAAAAGAAAGTGAAAAGGGAGGCGTTTCAGAGTGAAGTGTGCTTGCCTAGCTGGTCCGTCTATAACACACGGTGCATCAAGTAGCCCTCAGTGAGGAGCTCAACCACCACAGCTCCTCTTTCGTTCTTTTCACACTGTCCTAGAGCAAAGCTTCACCTTGACTCCCAGGTCTGAGGTGTCTCTTTCATCTTCATACGCTATATCAGAGGTCTAGGGTTAGGAAGGATGCTTAGCTTTTATCTAGTGTATCTTGCATAAGTATCTGATCCCTAAGCTCAAACAAACAGCCAAGACCAAAGGCGGACAGAAGACATACACTGAGAAAGTCCCCTATAATCCATATACACACACAGTCTATACAGTTTCTACACAGTAAAAGGAGTCATTTCAGCTAATATAGCCTCTAATATTGATTGCATCTGAAAATATCCTCTGGGCCCTCGCCAGCATCATACGAAGCAGCAGTACTTCCTCCACCAGGACTTGGAGAGGTTTTTCACTTTGTCCGGAGTCCTGCTTTTGCACTTCTTTGGCTGCTGCTGAGTGTCTGAGAACTGAATGCCAGCAACAATGGCTGCGTCAAAGACCTCTTTGAGGTTTTTCTGAGTCAAGGCTGAACACTCAATGTAGGAGGCGGCTTTGATTTCCTCTGCACACAGCCTCGCTGCGTCTTCAGGCACCGGCTTCTCTTTGCATTTGTCCAACTCAATGAGGACTTTGACATCTTCTCTGAGATCTGACTGAGTTCCAACAAGAATGATGGGCGCTTTGGGACAGTGGCATCGGATCTCCGGCACCCATTTCTCGCTGACGTTCTGGAAAGATGAGGGGCTGACCACACTGAAGCACAGCAGGAAGATGTCCGTGTTGGTGTAGCAGAGAGGCCTGAGCTTGTCAAACTCATCCTGCAAACAATCAGAGCATCCCAAAGTTATTTTTAAAATCCATTCTCCTCAGCAAAAGCAACGATTTTAACATTTTCCCTGGAAGGGTGTGGGAGGTATGAGTCCATCAGCCCACGTCTCAGGCAGGATCCCGCCTGTGCTCCTGGCCCCCCAAAAGCTGCCAAAGTTTCTGTCAGCACCGTGACCTACTTGCAACTTACTATAGAAAAGGGATCTCAATGAAATGGGCTTGAAGGAATACAACGTGCTTTTAGCATTCCACCCAGAGTAATCTAGACTTGCGCTCAACATTGGTACGTAGGTCCTCGGAATTTTGCTGTAGCTGGCATCAGGCTGATCCCCAAGATGCCTGTCCCCAGGGAAACCCAGTCTATCAGCACAGCTTTGCTCTCTAAACGTCTAGTTCTGCACATCCTCAGGATGGCTACGAGCAGCGCCATCTCCTCCCACCTGCCCTGAGCATACCTGGGGCAACCCCAGGACACACAGCACAGACAGTGGGTGATCACCGCAAGGACAGGCCTAGAAACGGACCTGTGTGCGCCGGGTGGGCACCCTCCCGGACAACCCACCTATTATTACACTGGTTAACGCATTCTTACTCTGGCTTGATAAGCCTTTGCCTCTTGCTTTACCTTCCCTCCCACCTCCTCCCCTCCACTCTATTATTCCCTGTCCCCGTTTCTCTCTGCCAATCCCAGAGGCCTCCTGCAAGCTTGGGGAAGATAAAGGACGAGATGAAGGAGCTGCCCACCTACTCTTAAGGTACAGAGAAGTGGATGGGTAAAGGAGAGCTGTGTCTATGTGCCAGCACCGTGCCGAGTGCTCTGTGGCAGCGACCCACTGAGATGCCTGCCGGGTGCCAGTCACTGTCAGGGCCAGATGGCTTGCTGGGGAGCAGACAGACATGACCTTGGCCCTCATGGAGACACACGTGTGGAAATCGGGATTGCTGTTTCTCAAGTGCCCTATCGTACCCTGCCCAGGCAGACTGCAAACTGGAAGCTTTCGCTCAAAGTCCACTTCCTAAAATATTGACACCATCTCACTCACATTGAAAAGGTCTATCTCTGACCACCAACCATCCTCAGGTGTAATGTAACATGTTATATCCCAGTGGCAAGGAAAAGCTAAATGCCATCCAGGATTCTGTTACCCCATTGACAAACTCTGATGATTTACATGTATGTCACTTGGCCTCGTGGCCTTTTTGAGGTATGAAGGAAACCCAGATCTGTGCATTTGACTGCGCTGAGTTATGAAGCAACAACTCACTAAAAATATTAAAGCTGACCAGCTAGAACCATCAGGAACGGACACAGCATTTCAGGCCATTACTTCCACCGGTCTGTCTATTCTAAACAGGAAAGTTTAAAAAAATAGGTCTGTGTTTCTTGGTGCTAACTTTGTGTTCAAATAATAAACACAGATCTTGACCAGGCAAATCTCAACCAGCCCAGCTCCAAAGATCATTTAGTGACATGCTCCCCTGTTCTCAGGGGCCTCAAGGGGGCCCTGAGGACAGTGTCAAGGCAGCCCCTGAGGCAGCTGCGCCTTGCTGCTGGAAGGCAGTCCCCTGGGCTGTGCCCTGGAATCTGGGGTTGCATTACCCATAAAAAGGAAGGCAAGCACAGGAGCCAGGCCCCGTGACAGGGCTTTGGAAGTTGGGCTCCCCCGCCTCTTGAGATTCTGGCTACGAGGCTTAGGAAGCACAGCAGAAATTAAACCCTCCTGCTTATTGCCTGGCCAGAAACCCTAGCTATTTGCTGAAATAAGTGAAACACACAGAGCAGCCAGGGGAGCAAAGGAACACACCTCCAGGAAATGCCTCTGGGCCCAGGGATCAGCGTGAGTATGCCAGGCCTGTGCCAGGCCTGTGGCAATGCTGTCGCCCAGACCTGGCCCAAGGGCAGAGCCAGCGCACACACAGGCAGGTGGAGGAACCCTGAGCAAACTGAAACCTGGCTTTCCCCCATAGTCTAAAGATTTTTCCAAGTGCCTCATGGGTCAGAAGGCCTCAGAGCTGGCTTGGCTACAGGGAGTTACTCCATTTCAGCGATCCTCTCATACACACCAAAGTTGCATTTCTTCAAGTTCTCAGCCTCTGGTCAGTTTCCACTTGAGTATGGTCCAGTGCTAAAACAGTCCCCTTAACATCTTCCAGTTTGACCTATGGGTCCCACCCCCCGCCCAGTGGGAAGAGCCAAAGGCACCAGCAGTAGTATCTGGATGTTCATCCACCCAGTTACTACATTCTTGCTCTCCTTCGCTAAGGGTTCCAAGGTACAGAGATGTGTTCTCATTCTCCTCCAATTGGGGGGAGGTGGTGGTCCCTGGGCTCCCTGTAACACTCCAGGCTGGCACAAGGACCACCCACAGCAGAGGAAAAGGGGGTTCTATGGCCTGGGTCAACATAAAGGAAATGGGAGCAATGTCAAGTGCAGTCCATTGAGAGGCCGGTTAGGATATCTGGACTGAGAGGATAGCTCGGAACCCCCACCCTCCCCAGCCCTCCTAACAGCCGCAACAAATACTGACAGATACTCGAGAAGGGGTGGGGGGGAGTGACTTGGTCTTACCAGTGGTCTGCTTTTCTTTGTTTTGGAAGTTAGCTTTCTACGAAACTTCAGCCTCATTCATTACATAATAAGGCAGTTCTTACTGCTTTACAAACCAGTACATCAGTTCAGAAATACAGTCAATCTCAATGAAAACACTGCTGGGAGGCCAGATGGATGATTTTCAAATCAACCAAGGCTCACCCATTTAGTACCCAGGCCATTTTTTCTCCCCTCTTTATAGACTTTTCCCATGAAAATATTTCTGAAATGACTTTCATGCTCTCCCTGACTTTTAAACCTACAACACTAAGAAGAAGCGGCATTCTTCTTGAGAGGCAGGATCATTTCCACAAGGCTTTTCTGGTAAAAATCCCATTTCACTTTCAAACACCTTAGCCAACACCGCCTTCCTCTGTGTGACTCACCAGTTTCCTCCACCAGTTCTGCTGACTGGTGCATCTCCCCTGCTCACTGTAGGTTTGTTAAGGGGCAGGATGTGACTTAAGTTTGCACACTCTGGGGCCAGGAGCTCCATTATAGTGCTGACCCTTAACCCATTGTGCCACCAGGGAGGCCCTAGTCCCTAGTGCCAGGTACCATGTGGGCACCCTGCAAACCCCTGGATCAGGAAGTTGTGCAAGTGACACACGACAGGAGAGGTGCAGTGGTGGGCAGGACCATGCACTGGCTGCGAGACACCCACCCCTCTACCCACATCTCCCAGAGTCCCCAAGAACCAGGCTTCTTAGTTTCTGGTGCTTGTGTATCTTATTTTGAGGCTGGTAAGGTGCCATTCACGCTTCCATAGGGATGCCCACATTTACACAGGTGCTACTCTGACCTCATTTTGAAGATCAGAAAATCTGACCTATGGTAAGAAAAACATTCTCACTTAATACAAAGTAATTAAGCTTTAGTTATAACCACCAAAGTAGTGCATTCCAAAACACCAACTATTAGAAAGACCTGTGGTCTGTGACTTTGCTTCCCTGTAGGCAACAGCACACAGACTCTGTTTAGTTCTCCTACTCACAGGGAAGAGGACGCCTCAGGGGTGGGACAAGGAGAGAACAGAATAGAATAAGGCTTCAGCTCAAGCCCTCATGGCCACCACCAAACTAGTATCCAGCAGGGATCCAGGCTGCCCCGTTCATGGCACCGTGAGGTCTGAGAGCTAAAGCTCTGAGCTGGGTGTCCAAGAGTAGCCAGCCACTTGGCTGACCTGGACACCTCTTCAAGGTGGAAGCCAACTTCTTCAAGGTGGACGGTTTGCTAACACCTCAGAAAGCGAAGCAGGTGCTTGTATGTGCCTGCAAGGTAACCCCAGCACTTTCTCAAATTCCAGCAAGTATTGGAAAGACTGTCAGTTCAACAAATATGATACTGGACCCGGGGGTTGCATGGCACCAGGTGACTTCGGAGACTGGAGCACTGTGTGGAGGGAAGGTGGGGTGAAGATGACCCCCCTCCCCACCACCCTGGCTCTTCAGGAGAATGTCCCTCCAACCCATATCCTCTCCATCACTCCCTGGCTCTCTTCCAGTACATGGCCCTTGAGACAAGAACCGCATGTTCCCAAATTAGAAAGACTAAGTCTCACTCCACTCACTCCCCACAACTACGACAGCTTCCACCCCTGGGCGGCAGCTTCCAGAGACTGGGGCTGGGAGGTAGCCCCAGTGAATGAAGCTGAGGCTGAGGAAAGGAAACAGTAACATTTACTGACATCAGCCCATCTTTATTCCCAGAGTAAATTTCTTTAATAACCACCAGAAGCTTTCCCCAAGTAACTATGAGCTATGATTACAAAGTATCTTTGATAATTTAATCAAAACCAGGAAGTGAACCAGAGCAGAAACTCCTGTAAGATAAGACCTGTGCTTGCCTGTCTTCCCCTTCCCTGCCTGCGCAGAGCCGGTCAAACCCTGTTTTATGGGTGCACAGGCAGTTCTGGACGGGGAGTCACGGGACGACTTGGGGAGGGTGTTTCCACCCAGGGTTGAGCAGCGAGGGGTGGTACTGACCTGTCCCGCGGTGTCACACAGCTGGAGTCTCACCGGCCGCCCATCCACGGACACCACGGCTTAAAAACAGACCAAAGGCCCAATCAGGACGTATTCTCCACCCCGGGCAGAATACATCTCAACTTGTGATTGCATTCTCACGCCAAGCCCCTGAACCCCTGTTCTGGGCCCCTAATGAATGAAAGCCTCCCCTAAAACAAGGAGGCCACTTGGGGGCATCTTTGCAAGTAAACCCTCCAATGTCGCAGTCACCATCACCACTGAAGAGGCAGCAAATCCCCGAGCCCTTTAAGGGCACCCCAGAAGGGCCTGCGCTTTTCTCCCAGATCTGGAAGATATATATTCCTGTCACACGTGTTGAAAAGAGTCTAAAGAACAACACTGGGGGGTGAATGGGAACCAACCGGGTAGTTTTAAATCAGTGGAAAAGCTCACCCCAAAGTCTACATTCCCTTGGGAAATGTTTGGAAACGTCAAGGCTTATCATAAAACTGTAGCTTGTTTTGAGAGCGTGTGCAGACGGCCGCCCTTGTGGTCCTGGGTCTAAAGGACAGCACCAGTTACATTTCTGCGGCAGCTCAAAGGGAGGGTCAGGCAGAAGTGGGGTGACCACCCTCCCACTGCTGCAGGGTACTGGGAGGGGAGGCCCCGACAAGGGGGCACTGCTACAGATGGCTATTTGAATGAAGGGCTGAGTTTCAGTTCAATACAACTTTCTATATTGTTAACAGGTGTTTATAGTAGTCGGAGAGGAGAGGGGGAAAAGGGGAAAAGGATATTTAGACAGGAAACCCACCAGCACAGAACACTTTTATTCAGGGTACTTCTGAGATATAAAAAAGCTGGCTCTTGCCATCATGACTTTCTCAGAGAAAAAGAGCCAATTCTTTTTTTCAGCAAAAGAATTGTTTCACACTAGTGTCTTCGAATTTTCACTTTTTTCTTAACATTGTTTTTAAAAAGAGCCGGGAAATAAAAACAAGGTAGATAAAGGATGACTTTATCTTTGTATCATAGCATCCCAAACACAAGGGCTGTAAGCAGCTTAAAGAGATACTGAAAAGATACTAAGAATCAGCACAGCCCACGGGGAAGGCGGTGGGGATCAGAAGAAAGAAACCCTGTTTACTTTCCCCAGGTTGGATCCAACCCTAATCCTTCACCGGAGACTCTAGCGTTGTTTTCTCTAAATCAACTATGTTCACTCTTTAAAGAGGAGATGTCCCTTGTGAGCTGAGTCACCCAAAGGCCACAGGTAAATGGCACCTGCGCGTCATCATCCCACTGAAACGCAGCACTGGCGCCAGCGACGTCGGCCTGACCCAACTTCCACGCAGCACACTGACCTGTTAGATTCCCGCTCCTCTACTGCCAAACTGCGTGAGCGTTTCTTTCTTTTTGGCGAGGCTCTGACTACCGCACCCGATCGCCTCCCCCTTGCAGTTTCCAGGGCTCCCCAGTCCCCCTCGAACCCTCAGTGTGTCCCCTGCTAGCCCGCACCCCAGTTTGGGCAACGCCTTGCATTCGGACCTTGGTCCGCGTAGCGGCTGTAGCTCGGCTCGAGGCCCTGCAGCCCCCTTGGGGGCCCGCACCCCTCGCGCAGTCCTGCTCCGGGCACCTCCTCCGGCC